AAATTTTCCTAGAAATATGGAGAAGATTCGGATGGTATACAAATGTTTCGCACAAGCCAAATACATATTTCATCTCTTCATCAACAATTCAATCAAATTCGTGGATGTTTAAAAAGTATCAATGAAAAAAAATTAAAAAATGCCAATGATTTTACAAATATTGAAAAAGCTTTACAGTTAAAATATTAATATTTATATTGAAATTAACAATGGATTAATTTTCATTTAGAACACTTGGTTCAGATTCAACAAGTATTGATCGATGGGCAACAGGTCCAAATGATTATTGGCCAACCATTCAAATTGGTCTTGGTAATCTACCCGTTGAAATAAATGCTATGTCAGAACGGATTAATGAACAATATAAACGTGATGATGAAGTTATTAGTGATCATCTTGATATGTTAATTGAATTACTTCAAGGATATAAAGTGAGACGAAATGTTTTTATAATTAAAATTTTATTTTATTTCTTGTTAGGATTTGTGTAAACGATTTGAAGATGCATTACAAAGTGAACAAAAAGCTATTCAAAAAGCAAATAATCAACGAAAACGTTCATCATCAATCACTGATACATCATCCAAAGTAAAAATATATTTAGATAGATGTCTGTGAATAAATAAATTGAAAAATGGGAAAAAAAATGAGGACTAACAGATATCAAGAACGATTCTGGCAAAAGAAAACAAACAAACGAATTGCGACCTAAAACCTTGGATATTTGTAGATTTTCAAAATTATGATTTTTTTTTTTATAGAATGATAATAATCTTGAAATGATTGAAAAACGTAATCGACATGCACTGCAATGTGTAAAAATTGAAACACAATTAGTTTATGCGAATTTAGAAGCATTTGTTTATATTCTAAGTAGTCTTGGTAATAGTCAATGTAAAGGATCATCAGATGTATGTTTATTGAAGACGAAATTTTTCTATTATAACAATTTTTCTTTTTGAAGCTTCTCAATATTTGGAAATCATTTGCAAATAAAATATCTCAACTGGGACAAAATTATATTACGAAATCACCGATAGACAGGATGAATACAATTGGATTGAGAAAATGATTAAAAAAATAAATAAAATGCTATTGAACTGATTTTATTTCGTTTTCTTTTTTTTATTTTGTTCAAAAGATAAGCACATGGATGACGAGGAAAGTTAAAAATAAAATTTTTTATGTACCATTATTTTTATGCATTTTATTATACAACTCAATCCAACGAGAACGTAAAAAATCAGCTGACGGAAATTTTTGATTTTTAATATAAGTTGGATGATTTGCTGTGCTTTGTTGTGTTTCATAATCATGTTCATACTTTGAACCAATATGTCGTTTTAAAACATCATTTTGATCAATTAATATTATCATATTAATATTATTAAAAAGCAGTATTAGGAAAATTAAATAGGAACAAAACCAATGAGCCATTAGAATATTATTATCTTAAAACAAAAAAAAAAGAATGTGAAAAAGATAATTATCTATATGAAAGATATGAAAGTATCATACATGTTTTTCTCCGTCAACATAATGAATACATTTAAGAAAGAGAAGCAAATCTTCGTTGTAGGCTTATATATCCTATTGTTCTCTTTCTGATTAAATCTAAATCACGCACATAAAAAGACTAGTCATGTTTTTTATATGATACGCATATATTTGTGTCTGTCATAGAATTCAGGAAATAAAATTTGACAATAGAAAACGCAAGGGATCGACATATATTTCTTATTTATGAATGAATAGCAATTATAATAACATCAATTAAATTCATATTATAAGTCTCCAAACATTAGCATGACATAAAAAAAAAGAAATGAAGGTATGAAACACCTTTATAGTACTGTGTCGCAGGAATCTCAAGAATGAAACGTCGGAAAACATTTGTTGGAACGTTAAATCATCGTGTTGAGATTGAACTAGAAGGATTTTTTTTCAAAATTTTTCTAAGGCTTTCTATTGGTTCACAAATAGAGTCTTAAGAAACACAAAATTCTAAAGACTTAGTTGTTTTTTGTCTTTTTTTTTAGTTTTGAGATAATTACAATTATCTTTACATAAAAAATAAGAGTTTTAATACAAAGACTTTTATCAGACACTCTAAATGTGCCTGGGTCAAAATTGATTTTTTAAAGGAGAAAAGATTAAACAACTAGCGAGACAATCTACTTTTCGATCGAGACAAAGTTCATTTGATAAATAATAGTATGTAATAGCAAAGTCTAGAAGGACTTTGTTTATGCAAAGTGAAGGAGATTACTACAGTTCATCCGACGAGCTCTAGATACTATAGTTTTTTGTTGCAAAACTCAGTAAAATTTTGATATTTCGAGGGCACTAAGGTCCAGAAAATCAAATCATTCTAGACTTTTCTTTTGCTCACTAGTACTCATCAAATGAAGATCGTTGAAGTCAAAAAATTGTTTAACACAAGGAGTTGATATGTTGGACTTGTTAATTGAGTAATTTTAATTAATACTAGACTCATGATTATGGTTCGGAAAAATCTTCAACTGATTAAATTCATTGTTTTATATATTATTTGAATGTTGTTATCATTCAAGTAAATAAAATGACATCGATTGAGTTATTCGTTCAAGAGTCAATAAAACATCAATAGCATATTTCTTTTAATTTATAATATTAATTAATTATTTAATTGATATTTATCTGTCTTTAGGACATAGTTTATGTAAACATGACATTATAAGCTCAATAGAGCATCAATTACACTTGAATATGTCAACAACAAACATGAACATCATTTTGTCCTATACTATACACGTTTGAAATCATTCAATAACAACGGTATTTCCTTCCCATCTGACACAACTTCAAATTCTACTATTACTAGAATAATAAATATATTTTTAAATCATTAAAGAATCTTACATTAATCGATAAAATGAACAGAAAAAAAAAAGAAAGAGATATAATGAAGTCATATTATTATCCAAATATGTAACTAATAAAAGGTTTCATATGAATGTTGATTATGTTTAAAAATAATTTAAATCATTGACTTAGGAGCAAGAAAATTTTTCATAATATATTTAAACTTGAGTGGTGTTCACATAACGAGGGAAGAGGAAAATCATGAAGTGCAAGATTGAATTTTTTGCTGCTTCCATCTCATCACATAATAAAATTTGTGAGTTTCTAGAAGAAAACAATTATTACGTCTTCGTACTACATAGCAAAGAGGGTGAAAAGCGGCAAAATAATGTTATAAAATACATTATTTATGCGCCATAGTCTTCCGTTAAGAATGGTCAATTATTAATTTTTATATTGAAACATTTTATACACGTTTGTAGCGAATTGTATGAGAAGTTTTTTTAGTAAAAACGTCAAAGCGCAGTAATGATTATTGACAGAGATATTAATAAAATACTGAGAGACCTATTTATTCTAGGGCATTAGTTGTTTTTAAATAACTTTGACATATCCGAATAAATATCATTTTTGTCTACAAGCGTAATTTATCTATTTTGTAGTCTTTTAATAGAAAGATAATAGAATTTCCTTATTATCAAATGTAAAAGTAAAATATGAAAGAAGTAGGACACTAAGCCAAGGAACATATATGTATTCAATATATACAAAATAAGTTTTATTTGTATGGTCGTTGAATATATCATTGTTGATTGATTATTTCCTTTATAGCGTTATTGTTTTTTTTCTGCAATTTATGTAAACGAGTACATGTTATATAATTTTCGATATTGTCTTCGAAGACAATTATTTCTTTTTTGTTTTCGTGATGTTCATATAAATACTTGTATCGTTGGTTGTACGTATTATATCTATATTAGTACATATCATTAGAAAAAATGGAATATATAAGTGCTAAAGAAAGTAAATTCAATATTAGTAAATATATATAAAAAAAATTTCTGAAATTGTAGACATCCTATGCATACAAAATATGTTGTTACCTGATGGGTTTCATTAGGACTATTTTTATGATATATATGATTAGCAACAACTGCTGCGCCGTGTATCACATTTTAATCCCACAGATATTGCAGAAACAGATTTTTACTATTTTGAAACTATGGAAAAGACTAATAAATCAATGGCCAAGAGGAAAAAAAGGACTTATAGGATTATTTTGAGCGTATGTGAATAGCGACTCTGAATACAATACCAAGAAATATGATATAAATTCGTAAAGACTTTTATTAAAATATACATCCATTCAGTCGCTCATATTGAAATCTCATTTCAAGAAGTCTCAATCAGGTTGTTGGTTGATATAACATATCGGTCTAACTTGCCTCAAGTGTTAAATACTACTTCCACCGAGTGTAAGACATCCTGTTAGTTTTTGATGTTAAGGAAAAATTTTTATATTTAAATATCTTCTGAATACAAAAGCTAAATAAATAACTGTTGTTGCAAGAAGAGCCCTTACAACAATAGAAATTCTACAAATGCTGAAAAGTACTTGTGTAGTTATGAATATTTGTATTAGAACTAACTGTCATTTTTCTTGTTTGTTCGCAGTATTAAAAAAAAGGCCATTATGCATATAACAATCACCGAATTATTACGGTTTATGTTTCAGAAAGTCAACTTTCTTTTGCAATAATGTAAAATTTAATTAATATATTTATGTCGTTAGATGTAATGAACAATTTATGTACAGCTTCAATTAAAAAATTTGTCAAATCAGAATTATACAATAGTAGACAAAGATAATAGAGAGTTTTGTGTATACTTTGATGTTACAATGAAGTGTTTTACCATCGAGACTTTCTTTTGTAATAAGAATTACTTTCGACCCATGAACGTAAATGAATAGTTCTTAAAAATAAGTCGTTTCGACCATGTAAATAATATTAATGATAGAAAAGTAATGACTGCAAAAATTACAAATAATCCACCCATTGAATCAATACTCGTTGCAGTTGGTGTTAAAGATAAATCAGGACAACTCTTTTTTCGAAATCATTTTTCTCTTAAAATATCAAGTTGACCTGATTCTCTTAATAATAAAAATTAACAATCAAAACTTTAGCATATAACCATTCGTTTGGAGTAACTATTCCAAAAACACCTTTATCAAAATGTTGTCCAATTAAAGTTAAATTACAATAAATATTATTCGTAATATATTCAGCCATACCAGTATCCATAAAAGACGCATCGATAGTTCCATCAAGTAAACTATCATATAATTCTTGTTGAGATTTTAATGGATAATAATTTTTATTACCATCAGATATTTCTCGTAAACAATAATGTTCACTTTCTGAACCTGAACGAATACCAATACGATAAAATGAAATTTTTCCACTTTTGATATCATTATTTCGCGAAATAATATTTTTTGATTTTAATAGCGTTAAATCTGATGTTAGATGTGCAGTGTATGTAACTACTCATATCAAACTTAATATATATAAACTCATAGTTAATAAATGTTCAGCAACTGTACTAACATGAAACTCTACAGTATATTCAACAATATGCCCAAAAGAATAGCATGTGCTCATTGCTACTTGAGATAATATTGATCGATTTTGTAATGTTTCATTATCTTTTCTCTCAATGAGACAAAGCAATAAACCACCAGCATGAATACAAGTAGCTAATACTAATAACCATAGATTACGTGAAAATGGTCTTACGAATGACAACAGATCAATATTGACACCAGATGTTTTTCGCATTATAATGTTTAAAGCATTGCATTCGAAAAATCAACTAATTCTCTTTGTTTAGTATTAACTGTTACATCGCCAATCATAGTATCATAATCATCATTTGCTACTGCTTGAATTTAACCATCATATATTCGATTCAATGATGCTACTTGAATATCTGGAATAAATCCGACTTTATTTTGTAATAGTTTAATAAGATCAGGTATATAACCAGTTAATTTTGTTATATTCATCAATGGCGTATGTTATTATTAAGAATGGAACTGATCCAATGACACCAATTTGTAGAGTTACACCTTTAACTGTGGCTCGATCAGTCGGAGGTACTAATGAATTACCTGACCAAACAAAAATATTTTTTTCTTTAAACATTTTCCAGTCGTCAGTATTAGAATATTCTAATACCGATAAAAAGATTTAAACCATTTGAAGAAGCTTGAACATTTTTTACATAATAATAGAAACCATCTATTCGATCTGTCACATTAAAACTAAATTTTATTAGACCAGATACACCGAAAAATTCCGTTGTAGTAACTTCATTTCATAATAAATGAGAATGAACGAAACAACGATGAAAACAAAATGAAGATCCATTGAATGATGAACATGAAGAAGAAGAATTATTTTTAATTGTTGATCAAAGTTTTTCTAATGATTGAATTAATGACCATGTTGCATCAAATAGCAAATAATGCATAATAATTCACTTTTGTCTGTCCAGGAAATGATTCTGATTCATATTGTTGCCAAATATGATATGCTTGTTTTAATAATGTTGTATTAATTCCTACATTATCAGTATTTTCTGTAACAGGTTCAATTGCAAATAATCCAATTAATTTTGCATGATATTTTTTATCAAAAGTATTTAATGAAACAATTAAATTCAATATCCATGTAAATAGTGAACTTAATGCATCAGATTCAAGAGCATCTCGTAAAATTAAAGCTATATAATTTGTTTGAACCCATAAAATAACAATTCGAGTTGCGCTATTCATTAAATGGGTTCTCAGATCGCCTCGAATACGAAATGTAACAATCTCGAATATTATCAAGCATTCAACTGTTAAATTATTGTTATTAAATACTTCATTTATTATTTTAGCACCTGTAGATCCAAATTCATCATTTTGATAAATAAGTACAAATGATGTCCAATTGAAACGAATAAATAATCTTATAATAGCTAGTGCAGCTAAATTATCTGAAGGAGCTATACGATAAAAATTCGTATAAACATTTCGATCAGATAAATCAGGATCAGTTACACTATATGATATAACAGGTATACCTATTGTTTTACGCAAAATCAGCTATTAAATGAGCTTCTTTTGATAATGCTGGACCAACACTATTGGAAATAGATAATGCTTGACATGCTTTGCTAAGGACATCGATTACATTCCCATTAGTTTCTACTGATTGCCATTCTATGAATTGTCCATCTATTGTTATATTATATTGTTGAGAAAGTAATACAGCTGCTTTGAACATAGCGCGTAAATGCACAGACCATTCTGTAGTTTCAGATGTATTTGATACATCTTGAAAAAGACCCTAATAATCGAATATTCGAAGAGTTTGACGGTGGCCAAGTTGTTGTTACATAATATATAGTAAACTGTTCAAATAAAAAGTATAACAACAACTATCGAAAGTTCCAACAAAATATCATCACTCTTTCGACTATACTGCAACTAAACTGATCAAACATAAACGTGAGAAAAACAAAAACAAAGGTAATTAATAGTGAATGGCCTAGAAATAATCATACTCTAGTTATTTTCACTTTGTCGTTTCTTCAAAACCTTCACTCTTTAAAAAATCGCAATATCAGAAATCTATTTATTAGCTATTTTATTATGCAAGCTAAAGCTAAAAGAATAAGTCGTGAAACATTGCTTAGAAAATCAAAATTAAAGGAAGACCAATATCGGTCATCTTTTGAAAGAAATCTCGTTTCAATCAAGATATTTGACAGTTGAACTAAACATAAGTCTTTTTTTTCTAAAACTCAAGAGCTCGATTATAATTACTAATTAGTGAAGTCCAAAATAATAAAAATACAGTGTAGATGAGCAATATTTGAATCATGTTCATATGACTTGTTGAAAGACAAATTTTTCACAAAACGAATCAATATTTTTGAAGAAAATTATTAAAAAGAAAAAGTTTTTCAAGTTCTCTAAGTTCTGTACTCTGATTAAGAAAGACTGTCCTAACCCGACTTTGTATAGGCTAGGGTAACTCGGCACATCTCTATATTGACGAACAGAAAAAGTAAAACTATTGTGAATTCAATAAATTTTGAGTCACCAGATATTTCTATTAAACAAAATGATTTTGTCGACATTATAGTTCAAATCGATACTATCTGAGTGTAGTTTTATAGTATCTCCCGTCAGTTCTTCTTAGAAAAATACTTAAAGAATCGTGACAGTGATTCACCAGCGAGATAAATAACTACAACGAATTTTTCGACTGCATTAAATTTAAGACAAAAGTATACAGGTAGTATGCCATACCTTTGATCTCAACAATAGTATATATCAGTTCGTTTTTTTTAACAGTACAGCGTTTCTCTTCTCAGTTTGAAAATGAAAAAAGGAGCCTGAAGAACATGACCGTGTGAACTCATTTAAACTAATAAGATTTCTATTTTCTAGCTTATTCTTTTTTTGATGCAAATAAAGAGTCAATTAGGGAATACACTCTGAATCACAAATCAAAAATGTCAGTATATTAATGATCACCAATGTTCCAGAACAAGTCACAAGAAAAACCAATCTATAAAAAAAATATTATTAACAATATCTAGTTTTCGGTCCTACCTTACAGATATACATGAATAAAATATGTCTATTTGGATTAATTCTTAATCTTCTATTGAATTCAGAATTATAAATATTAGAAAAAAATATTGAGTTGTTAGTTTAAACATTTCACATTATCTTTATATACACAGTGTATTCATTGACAGAATTAGTAAATATTTCGTATCGATGTTTTTCATAATCAATATTTGAAAATAAGCCTCATCTATTTTACAATAAAATTGCCAACACATAAGTAATATTTATATCGTAGCTTCTCAAAAGAGATACTTTTTAATTAAAGATTTCGCTATTTAAAGAAAGCTTTGGCTATTTAAAATTCTCAAAAGAGATACTTTTTAATGAAATATCGCTATTTAAAGAAAACTTTGGCTATTTAAAAGCTTTGATACTGGTTTTTTCATAGTTAGCTAGCAATTCAAACAAAATAACAGTGACACTCAATTATTTAAATAGCTGCGTGGCTCATTGTTTTGCGTTCTGGGTTTTTTTGAATTTATCCTCACATCAACTAAGCAACCCACTGCTCGTGGTTTATTTTGTTTTTTTCGAAATAAAAGATATTAGATGATAAAAAGATAAAATAAAAAAAACGAATTCATCCTCACATCAACCCAACAACCCTCTGCTCGTGATTTATTTTATTTTTTTTTGAAGTAAAAGAAATTAGATGATAAAAAGATGAAATAATAAGAAAGAATCCATCTTGTTATCAACCAAACACAAACCTCTGATCGTAGTTTATTTTTTTTCAAAGTAAAAGATATTAAATGATAGAAAGATTGCATAAAAAAACGAATTCATTCTCACTCAACCAAACAAACCTCTGCTCGTGGTTTATTTTGCTTTTTTTTATTACAGTAAAACATATTAGATGATAATAAGATGAAATAAGCAAAAAACGAATTCATCCTCATATCAACTAAACAAACCCTGTTCTGAAGAATCAGCAAGGTAGGATGAATATTTGAGCAAAATATCTACTAGTGATGATAACGTAGTATTCTTTTTGATGCTTATAAGAATAAACATATAATTGTCAGTATTTTTTATTGTTAGAAATCGCAGACCCTGATTTAGGTTTTTTTCTTTTCTATCGCAATTTTAAATAGTTGCAAGATATTTAGATAGCAATGATAGGATAAAATAGGCAAATGAATAATTAAATTTCTATGCAAATCATTAAATAGCTACAAAATCTTTAGAAAGCTATGATAGGATTAAATAGCTATGTAAATCATTAGATAGCTATAGCAACTTTAAATAGCTACAAGATCTTTAGATAGCTATGATAGCATTAAATAGCTATGCAAATCATTAAATAGCTGTGCAAATCTTTAAATAGCTATAGCAAGTTTAAATAGCTGCAAGATCTTTAGATAGCTATGATAGCATTAAATAGCCAAATGAATGATTAAATAGCTATGTAAATCATTAGATAGCTATAGCAAGTTTAAATAGCTACAAGATCTTTAGATAGCTATGATAAGATTAAATAGGCAAGTAAATGATTAAATTGCCATGCAAATAATTAAATAGCTATAGCAACTTCAAAATAGCTACAAGATCGTTAGATAGCTATGATAGCACTAAATAGCTATCGCAAGTTTAAATAGCTGCAAGATCATTAGATAGCTACGATAGGATTAAATAGCCATGCAAATCATTAAATAGCTGTGCAAATCTTTAAATAGTTGTAGCAAGTTTAAATAGCAGCAAGATCTTTAGATAGCTATGATAGCATTAAATAGTCAAGTCAAAGATTAAATAGCTACAGCAACTTTAAATAGCTACAAGATCTTTAGATAGCTATGATAGCATTAAATAGCTATGCAATTCATAAAATAGCTGTACAAACCTTTAAATAGCTATAGCAAGTTTAAATAGCTGCAAGATCTTT